ATATTCTAATCAGTATATATTCTTATCAATATTACTATTTAGAGGATTTTCCTCTTAAAATAAGAAACTCTTCTTGGCGCCTATTTTAGTATAAAATATACTTAAAGTAAGTGGGATATCCTCAAAACAAGAATACAATTTTTTCGGTGTATATAACTATCGACGTCAGATTCAATTTAACTGTCACATCGCGCAAAGAGTCAGATGTACAACAACGTATTTCGTCTATTTGTTCATCGCAAATGAAATCTTTATCTACGTCGATTCAATTTCAATGTTCCGATAAAAAAACAAAATCAATGACGACAGATAAAAGTCGGAGATAGGAGATTGCGTTCTGTTTTGTCCTCGAAAAGCGAAAAGTCGCTCGCTGCTATATATGTTCAAAATTCACGTGTTTTTTTTTTTTCCACACAGGATTTGACGCGGGACACATTTGTGCGCGCTCGCGCGTGTTTCCCTGTTTCCGTATGCCGCTTTGGTTCCACCTGCCGTTTCCGGCTTCCTCTCGCGCCCCTTTTATTCCCTTTCCCGGGACTCCCCCGGTTCTCCCCTTCCGATGAGAATTAGACGTCGCGCGACGACGACGCGCCTCTCACCTCGGACGTGGTGCGCGGAACGCATTCCGGATTTGCAGGCTCGTTTGCGTTTTCAAACGCAACTTTTACCCGTGAAAGACATAAGGACAACACTATAGAACGCGCTATAGAACCACACCTTGCTCGAACGAACAATGCTCGCGAGAAACGATTATAAACTTCGAGCGGAAGCGAAGAAACCATCGGATCTCGATCGCTCCGACGTAGCAGCGACGGCGACGTTCTTCGACACCTCTCGCTCGCGTGTGTAATCGTAAAATTGAAACAACAAAAAAAAAAAAAAAACAAAAGCGAGGATTAACGATTAAGCGGAATCGAAGCGTGGAAGATGATGCGGCAACATCTGGTTATTACGGTTTTCTTCGGCTTCTCGCGAGAGAAGGTGAACGAACCGATCCAAACAATTCTCCTCATCTTTTTTTTTCTCTCTCTCTCTCCTTCTCTTTCTTTCCTTATCTCCGCTCTTCTCTCGGTATGCGGAAAATTACATGCTTATAGATTTACACCGCATCGCGCGTCGCGAACAATGTGTTTGCAGTCGTTCGGGTGCATAATCGCGGCGCGTTTCGGTATAGCGCCGCGATTAAAAGTTTAAAGCCCGCGGTGGTGGTGATATACGTCTCGTATATCACGTCGTCGTTATATTTGCGCCGTGATATCCGTCTAGCGAATACCGCGCGCGCGATGCAAAACGCGCACGATGCACCGGCCGGCCGGCGACGGCGCCGATGTCCTGAGGATCGATGTAAGGATTTACCGGTGGCTTTTACCGTTACGATATCTCTAACGGGATGCGGGAGAATACGACAGAAGGAACAAGGCAATTTCTCGCGCTATTCCAGATCGAGCGCGCGGAGAGTTTTCAACAGCAGTTTGACTCAACCAAGTTCGCGCGGTGCTCTGCGCGTCAAATCACCGCGCGTCGAACTTACATTTCTTCCTCCTCGCACGAGTGTGAGAAAAATATCTTCTATCTTCCGTAACGCGGACGAATCACGTACAATTAGGTTTTTTGTTGCGCGACGTTTTATTGTACAACATTTTTGTACGCGCGCTCTGTTGCATTTTGTAATTTTTATATTTAAATCAAGAAAATTAAACAGAATTCTGTATATATATATATATATATTATGTTCTCTGACAACACAGTTATAGCAGTTGTCGGTTGCAAACTCGCATGCAAATGTAACGGTGTATAGGTGCGTGTCATGTGTCTGCGCGCGTCGCAGACATTTTCCGAAATACTGTCACGGTGCGCGCTTGCGCGACGCGTGCAAATCGCGAAATGCACCGATTCGTAACGACCTTTGATCACGCAATGACTGTCGAAAATTTTTCTCGCAACGCGGTAGAGAATATTTTTTTCTATATCAGGAAACGCGACGACGGAGAGTCGCGTTGGATCATATTCGTCATATAGTGATTTTTTATCGCGGCCCGGACAATCTCCGAGCGTGTCCGCCGCGCACGCTGAACTCGAAAATCACGGCAAGAAGATTGCGTTACGTAATCGAAAAAAAAAAAAAATTCATATCCGCACGTGCTCTCCGCGGAGAGATAAATGCAAATTAAGAAGGAGTTTATGCGAGTAATAGTTTTGTTTCTTCGAAGGAAACAGAAATAGATTCGACAGTCTTAGGAAACCTTGTTCAAGAAAGGCAACCTTGAAAGAGAGACGAATAAAGTATCTCAAAGTTTTTTATTTTTTTATTTTCATTTTTTACAAAAAAAAAAAAACTGCGATTATTTCGCGATCGATATCGCGCATATGGAATATTTGACGAGTGACACATATTCCGATAATGCCAAATTTTTTTTTTTTGCCGTTTAAGAAAGAAAAACTGATAACGTATGCAAATGTATCATATGCACGGTTTTCAAGATGAGTAATTGTTTCGGTCTTTCGCCGCGTCGCTTATCTCGATAAGGCGCTGCGATAAGCGATAAATAAAATCTCGGAATTTCGATTCCTCTGCGTCGGTATGTAGTTGCGACAAAAATATCGAACGTCGCGCGCAATTGAAATATATATATATATTTAGTTATTGTTTTAACAAATAAATTCAATTAACTTTATCTGCTTTCTCTAATAATAGCAGTCGATAAACTTTAATTTGTTAAGTTAATTTGGAAAAAGAAGAACACATTTTTTCCGAAATACAAAATAAATTCGATAAAACTTTGTTGACAAAAAGCGCGAGATTGCAATGAAAAATATAATTGAACAGAGAATGTTTTTTCGCATAATTAAGGTTTTGCGTGGAAAATCTTGACTAATAGATTGAATTAACAATAAAAAATCGAAGTTTTATTCTCGCGTATGCGTTTATTGAAATATATATATATAATATACACCGCGAAAAATTATATTTTTGTAAGTAGAAGATTTTATACTTAAAAAATCTTCTTAAAGATTTTAGATGATATTCTTCTGAAATTAAGAATATATTTTTTATTTAAGAATATAGTCTTTTTCGATAGTGAGATATATATGTTTTTCTATAGAGGCTTTTTATATTCTTATCAATATTTAGAAGATTTTCCTCTTAAAATAAGAAACTCTTCTTGGCGCCTATTTTAGTATAAAATATACTTAAAGTAAGTGGGATTTTCTCAAAACAAGAATACAATTTTTTCGGTGTACGTGTATATATATATATACACCGAAAAAATGATATTCTTGTAAGTAGAAGATTTTATACTTAAAAAATCTTCTTAAAGATTTTAAATGATATTCTTCCGAAATTATAAGAATATATTCTTTATTGAAAAAAATTAAGGATATATTCTTTATTTAAGAATATATTCTTAATTTAAGAATATAGTCTTTTTCGATAGTGAGATATATATGTTTTTCTATAGAGGCTTTTTATATTCTAATCAGTATATATTCTTATCAATATTCTTATCAGTATATATTCTTATCAATATTTAGAGGATTTTCTTCTTAAAATAAGAAACTCTTCTTGGCGTCTATTTTAGTATAAAATATACTTAAAGTAAGTGGGATATCTCTTTCCTCAAAACAAGAATACAATTTTTTCGGTGTACATATTCCGATAACGACCGATAGAGCAATTTACCGTAACCGTTTATCTAAAGCTTATTTAACGAGATATATATTTATTACGACCATCGTTAACCTTTACGAAATACGTCCGATATTTCTACCCTCTTATCGACCGTAACAGAGCACTTTTGTTGCTTCTTCCGTCAATAATGCCCACAGCTCGGAATAAGAACTGCGCTACTGTAAGAATCCTCCGTTCAGCGTATATATGTCGTATGCAGCGCCGGAAGTTAGACATCGACAACTAGCTACTTATTAGCCGGAAATTTCGTCCGACAACGGGGAGAAAGTGCCGGGCACAAGAGCTCGTCGTCGACAATTTATACGTTCCGTACAAGTGAGAACGATTCACGAATTTATTTAGCTATTACATAGAGCCCTCGTTGCAACGAATTCCAACACACGAGTGCGTGTACGCTTTCATTTTTATTGGATAAATTTGTTGCTGTGTAATAACAAACGTCTTTTCGGACAGATTCGTTATTTGCAGATACTTTTTACTTTTTCTCGCAACGACGAAGTCGCGAAAGACGATTTGATCGCAATTGTTCAATTTTTGACGTCGATTTGTTTCGAAAAACAAAAGCTTCAATTTGAAGGTTTTTTTTCTTTGTACACTTTGTAAATAGATGAAAAATTTAATTGCGTTTCCGTTGCGCGAGACTGTAATTTCTCTATTGTACTCTTTATTATCTCTCGAATGTATAAAGAGCACCTTAAACACACACACACACACACACACGATTGTGAAGCGTACGTTGCGACTCGACTGTTTGTTTCAGAACAAAGCCAAGGGATGGAGAATCAGCAGGTGTGGGTCCGGGACCCCCAGGAGGGTTTCATAATTGGAAAATTCACAGACATGGTGGACGGGGACGCGCTGATTGTCCCGCTCGATCCGAAATATCCGCAGCGCACCTGTCCCCTGGACGAGGTCTATCCCGCCGGCGAATACACCAAAGACGTCGAAGATAATTGTAAGTTTTTTTTTTGTTTCTTCGAGGCAGTTGTTTTTTTTTTTTTTTTTACCGACTGGAAAATAATTCGATCACTTGGAAAAATTAATAAAAAGAATAGATAACGTTAGAACGTAGAATACACGCACGTCACAGCATTTGTGTGTGTTTGAGACTTGTAATTCTCTCCCGAATTGTTACACAGCGTGACGCGAACTCGCCTCTCTCTCCGTTCGGTTTATCGCAGATTAGAATCTCGCGCTCCCCCGTGGTTACGCTCGCTTCTCACGCGACTTTCGCTCTTTTGCAAAAGCACTTTCACTGATTTTTTTCTCCCCCCTCCCCATTTCTCTAAATCGCTGCACACTTGCAGGTGCCCTGATGTACCTAAACGAGGCCACGCTGTTGAACAACATACGCACTCGTTACTTCAAGGACAGAATATATGTGAGTATAATTAGTCGGTGACCGTATAAACAATTGCGTATATATCGGCGGAAGCGAATCGAGTCGCGCTCGCTCTCGTCTTTCGCATCTAAAAAAAAAAAAAAAAAACAATGAAAAATTATTTTTAATTGCTCGCCCATTTAATTGCAGACATACGTCGCTAATATCTTGATAGCCGTAAATCCGTACTGCGAGGTGAAGGATCTCTACTCGCCGCAGACCATCAAGGCTTATCAGGGAAAATCGCTGGGCGAAACGCCACCTCACGTCTTCGCCATCGGTAGCTGAGTTGTTCTTATTTTTCTTTTTTTTCTTTTTTTTTTTCCGTTTCATTGTTTAGTCGCGCTTGATCGCGCACAGATGAGATTGCCAATTTGCACAGTGCTCTTTGCTTAAAAATTTTTCGCAGGCGATAAAGCGTTCAGAGACATGAAAGTGTTGAAACAATCCCAGAGCATTATCGTATCCGGCGAGTCGGGAGCGGGAAAGACCGAGTCGACCAAGTATCTTCTGCGGTATCTCTGCGATCTCTGGGGATCAACAGCCGGGCCGATCGAACAAAAGATTCTCGATGGTGTGTAATAAAATAAAAAAAAAAAAAAAAAAAAAAACAGCAGGGCGCGTAATTTAAATTCATTAAGTATAATTAATTTTTGACGTGAATCGAACGATAACACGTATCGTGCACCGAAAAAATTATTAATTCTCGTAAGTAGAAGATTTTATACTTAAAAAATCTTCTTAAAGATTTTTGAAGATGATATTCTTCTGAAATTAAGAATATATTCCTTATTTAAGAATATATTCTTAATTTAAGACTATAGTCTTTTTCGATAGTGAGATATATATGTTTTTCCATAGAGGCTTTTTATATTCTAATCAGTATATATTCTTATCAATATGATCTTGTCAATATTATCTTATTAATATTATATTTAGAGAATTTTCCTTTTAAAATAAGAAACTCTTCTTGGCGCCTATTTTAGTATAAAATATACTTAAAGTAAGTGGGATATCTCTTCTCAAAACAAGAATACAATTTTTTCGGTGTAAGATAAAAATGATTGGATATATTCTTATCAATATTTAGAGAATTTTCCTTTTAAAATAAGAAACTCTTCTTGGCGCCTATTTTAGTATAAAATATACTTAAAGTAAGTGGGATATCTCTCTCCTTAAAACAAGAATACAATTTTTTCGGTGTAAGATAAAAATGATTGGAGCACTCTGCTCTCACACGCACGCAGAAAATTACATCAATCGATTTACAACGGAGTTTTATGATCGATATTTAACTTTGTATTTTTTTTTTTTTTTTTTTTTTTTTTTTTTTTTTTTTTTTTTTTTTTTATTTGTTTTACTCAGAACCGAATACGTGCATTTTTACGTTTGACTGCGATAATTTTTACACGCGCGATTGGTACAAGTGGTTTTTTTTTTTACCAATTGATTCGTAGCGACTCCGGTGTTGGAAGCGTTCGGCAACGCGAAGACGAAGCGTAATAACAACAGCTCGCGTTTCGGCAAGTTCATGGAGGTACACTTCGACTCCAAGTGCCAGGTGGTCGGCGGTTACATATCCCACTACTTGCTGGAGAAGTCTCGAGTGTGTCTTCAGAGCCCGGACGAGCGGAATTACCACGTGTTTTACATGATGTGCGCCGGCGCGCCGGCCGATCTGCGCGCAAAGCTGGGAATCACCAAACCGGACGACTTTCATTATCTGAGAAACGGTTGCGTTCAGTATTTTTGCACCGCGAGCTCGGAGAAGCGTCTGAACGAGGCGCAAAAAAGCCGCGAGCAGATGCAAAAGGGCAGTCTTCACGATCCGATTTTGGACGACGTCGACGGATTCAACGCCATCGAACAGGCATGCATTAGCGAAATTTCTTTTAAACGTTTTTTATTAAACTTTGTTAATTTTTTGTTTTTGTTTTAATTTCTTTCTTTTTTTTTTTTTGCACCAAAAAAAGGCGTTCACTCGACTCGGTTTAACGGATGTCGAACGTATGGAAATCTATACGATGGTCGCGGCTGTGCTTCATCTCGGCAATATCACGTTCGAAGATAATCCCGAAGACACCAAGGGCGGTTGCAGGATAACGTCCGGTTCGGAAAAAGCGGTAATAATATCCGCGAAATTGTTGGGAGTGGATCCCGAGGAATTGCGACAAGCTCTGGTCTCGAAGGTGATGCAGACCAGTCGCGGTGGCATCAAAGGAACAGTCATTATGTGAGTTTAATCGGCGCGAGAGATTTCTTTATTTTTTTTTTTTTCTTTTTTTCTCTCTTCGCCATTTCTTCACTTTTAGCAAATTGCTACAATTTTCTTATTTACAATACAATTTGGAACAACTTTTTTTTTTTCACACTTTATATACGTATTGAAATAATTCCGATCGGTTTTTATCGATTGATTTTTTTTTTTTCGAATGTCAGGGTGCCTTTGAAAGTTTACGAAGCCAGTAACGCGAGAGACGCTTTGGTCAAGGCCATTTATAGCAAACTTTTCGATTACATTGTCGCGCGAATAAACAAAAGTATACCTTTCAAAGCGTCAAGTTACTACATCGGCGTGTTGGATATTGCCGGATTTGGTGAGCAAATAATAATCGTTTAATTTGTGTAAATTTATTGAAATACACATATATATATGTAAATAATACAAGTTTTCTTTGTAATTTTTACAGAGTATTTCCAAGTAAACAGTTTCGAACAATTTTGCATAAACTATTGCAACGAGAAACTGCAGCAATTTTTCAACGAGCGAATTTTGAAGTACGAGCAGGAACTTTACGCTCGTGAGTCCTTGGACGTTCCGAAAATCTCTTACGTCGACAATCAGGATTGCATAGGTACGTAAACACAAAGTTGACAAAATTGTAAAAAAATAAAGACGTTTAGTTTTCGAGATTAAAAATCAAAAACATTTGTATAATTGTTGCGCAAAATTTTTCTACATTATTTAATTTTTAATGTATAAGATAATAAAAACGATATTTCGAATTAATTAGTTTTAACATAAATAAATTGCGTTCAATGCGCAATTAAGCGTTTCGATCTTCTTTGTGGAAAGTAAAAAGTGTTATCGCGAATCATTCGCCAACTTTCAGATTTAATCGAGTCAAAAAATACGGGTATCTTCAGCTTATTGGACGAAGAGTCGAAACTGCCGACTCACAGTTTTGCGCATTTCACCAATGAGGTTCACCGCGTCTGGAACGGTCACTTCCGCATCACTTTACCGCGTACGTCACGACTGAAGGCTCATCGAGAATTACGAGACGACGAGGGCTTCGTGATTCGCCATTATGCCGGCGGTGTTTGCTATCAAACGGTAAAATAGCCGATTGAAGTTATAAATGTACAAAAGGACGTTCGCGTAAACGCGCACTCGAAAGAAGCCACGATTACAAATCTCTCTCCTTTCCGGTATTAGGCGCAATTCTCTTTTATATACGTAAAAGTTTAAAAACTTTTGCGTTTGTTTTGTTTTTTTTTCAAATCGACGAATGAGAGTAGAACAATTCGAACCGGTTGCAGAAAATGTTATGCGGTAAATGTTATCAAATTAGTATTCCAAATGTTTCGACTTTATTGATTTATTTAATCACATTATCAGTAGAATTCTCTGTGCGCAAGACGATAGAAAGAATTCAGTGAGTGTACGAATAGAAAGTTGTAAAAAATTACAGAACGACTAGTATTAAAAAATACAATATAAAATAATATTAAAAAATAAAAATATTAAAAAATAAAAATAATATTAAAAAATGTAAAAATTGCAAAGAATAGAATAGAGAAAAGTAACGAAAATTAACTAACATTACAAGAAAAAGTACAAAAAAATACAAGAAACAGTAATAACTTAAATCAAGGAGATTTCAGGTTCGACTTCTGGCCGAGGTGTTTTTTTTTTTCGCAATATTTTAAAATCAGTTAGGAGAGGGGGGGGGGTAAATTGGGATTTCTCATATACGTACTGCAAATATAGCATTTTTTCTTGTATAAATTTACGAATTGAAATTTTACTTCAAAAAAACTCACGTGTAAAATTTACACGTGAACGTAATAAAATACGTACATATATATATATATATATATATATACACATATATATACGTACATATATATATATATATATATGTACGTATTTTATTGCGGAAATATATATTTCCGCAACAAACGCCCAGCGTAAGGCTCTCATAACGTTTATATATTTCGCGATTAAAAACAATATCGTATTTATAAAACTGTTATCAATATATATAAGTTTTTAATGTTGTCACTACGAGAGAATCGTTAAAGAAGAGAAACTCAAGTCAAAAGGGTAATAAACAAAGATAATCTAAAATATTTATTGATAGCTCTCTGTGTGAGATATATTCCAAGAAAAATTAATTGACTTGTTTTAGAATCGGTAAGTAGATATATTGTCTAGAAGTGTCTTGTGCATTATATTAATACCATTACAATGTAATTTAATGTGTAACACATCTCGGAAGTTTTAATTTTTTGAAATAATTAGATTCTAAATCAATGTAATCTTTTTGTGTTCAACTTTATGTTCTTATCATTGAATTCCATCTATTACGTATACAGAAAATTCCACCGACGATAACATAAAATCAATAAAAAAAACGAAATTAATTTCAAAAACGGAATTAATTAATTTTTGATGAAATTTTGCAACCAGTTTCGAATTTACGATATTCATCAATTGCTCCTTTCCGCTCATCGATTTTACGTTTTTATTCGGGAGAAATTTTTTTTTTATTTCTGTATAAAAATTTTCATATCTATTTATATCTTCTTGCCAGAACCAGTTTATCGAAAAGAACAACGACGCGCTGCACGCTTCTCTGGAAGCGCTTATTCAGGAAAGCGGTAACAAATTTCTCAGAACGCAGTTCGCTAATCATTCCTTGCAGAAGGGAAAGCTCAGCTTCATCAGCGTTGGCAGTAAATTCAAGACGCAGCTTGGCGAACTAATGGACAAATTGAAAAGCAACGTAAGAATATATAAATTTTATTTCTCTCCTTTGAAAACTTGAAAAGTTTTTTAAAAAAAATTCTTCTGTTTTTTCTTTTATGTTAAATATTTTATTTTCAGGGAACAAATTTCATTAGGTGCATCAAGCCGAATAGCGAAATGGTGGCGCACCACTTCGACGGAAACAGCATCATGAACCAGCTACGTTGCTCGGGAATGACATCGGTTTTAGAACTGATGGAACACGGTTATCCGAGCCGGGTGCCGTTTCACGAGCTCTACAACATGTACAAGTCCTACTTGCCCCCGGAACTTGCTAGGCTGGATCCCAGATTTTTCTGCGAGGCGCTGCTGCACAGTCTGAAGCTGAACAAGAAAGACTTCAAGTTCGGTATCACGCGGGTCTTCTTCAAATCGGGCAAGTTCGCGGAATTCGATCGCATCATGAAGTCCGATCCGGAAAATCTGCGCAAACTAGTCGCCAACGTGAAAAAGTGGTTGCTGAAGTCGCGCTGGAACAAGTTGCAATTCTGCGCGCTGTCGGTAATCAAATTGAAGAACAAGATCATATATCGGCGGCAGCATCTGATCGTGTTGCAGAAGACGGCGAGGATGTACATTGCGAAGAAGCAGCATCGACCGCGAATACGCGGCATCGTGCAGATCAAGAATCTGTGGAAGCAGCTGGCGCAAATGGAGGAGACCGCAACCCAGCTGAAAAATCGGGAGAAATCGACGCGGGATCTGAAGAGACTCGACGATGACGTGAGGACAGCCATACACAAGATCAAGAACAATCCGAGGATCGCGCAGACGGAGATAGACGGTCTCTACACGTCTCTGGTTAATCAAGTGAACAAGCAAATGGACGCACTTCAAGACATGGTGAAGCAACAGAAGATCGCCGAGGAACAAGAAAAACTGAAGAAGATTCAGCAGGAGCTCGAATTAGAAAATAAACGAAATAAAGAAGAAGAACTTAAAAAACGAGAGGAGGAAGAAAACAGAAAGAAAAAAGTGGAAATAGAAGCCAGAAGAAAGATGGAAGAAGAACAAAGGAGGAAACAGGAGGAGGAGGATCAGAAACATGCAAAAATTCTTCAAGTTTGTTGAACTTGTAATCTTTATCTATTTAATGTGTGTGTGTGTGTGTGTGCGCGCGCGCGCGCGAACACAAAGCTTATAACATACAATGATAAATACAGTAGTTTCGGTGCGCAGATGTCACTACGTTCTGACACTCCTCAGAGCTAATCGTAAAAAGATAATTTTCATCTTTTTTTTTGTGCAGCTCAAGTGTGCCTTGGGCTGCGCAAAGAAAAACAAGTAAATCTCTTTATACCATTGTTAACTGACAACTACGTTAAGTGACAACTGCGTGGGCATTACTGTAACAAGCGAAAATATTGTTTATATTTAGTTCTTAGATTCCTAATATATAATAATATGAGCTTTGCAGGACATACAATTTGCATTATTTATAGTTGAAAATTATTTTATATTTTATTTTACACTTTCTTTATTTGACAATTGTGATTTAAAGGCTCAATGGGAGAAGGAGGATATGGAGAAGGAGGCCAAGGAAGCTCGATATCGAGAAATGAAGGAACAAGAAAGAAGGGATCACGAGCTGGCGGTCAGACTTGCTCAAGAATCGAACGGACAAGTGGAGGATTCTCCGCCGCCTATTCGAAGGTAAAAATTGAGATAAAAAAAAAACTTGATTTTCTATAGTTAATAATTTGCTATTTGTTAATTAATACAATTATACAAGTATGTACAATATGTGCGCATTAGATTTTTATAACAAAATTATTTATTAGAAAAATACTCTAAAAAAATTAACTGGATAATATCTCGTATTCGATATATATATATATATATATATATATATATATATATATATATATACATATATCGAGCCTTTAAATGACAGGTGTCAAATAAAGAAAGTTTAATAAAATATAAAATAATTTTATATATATATATATATATCGAATACTACTATATATAATTGGTAAAACTTATAATTTATCTATAAAACTACATATTAAAACTATATATACTACATATAAGTATACACAATTGTATATCGCGTATCGGAAATTTATCTCTTATCGCAATTCTATTAGCAACATGATACACATACTGAATAACTCCTCGGTAGTTCTTGTTATCGCGTTGCATTGTGTTAGACTGAAGTAAGAAATATTTTATTGTGTTTTAAAACGCAGCAGCTATGACACGCGAGTTTCCACGAACAACAACCGATTATTAAGGTATTGTATTTAATTATTCGAGTTTCTTGCACGAAAAAAACAAACTAGTCGCTCAAGAGAAATATTTCTTTCCTTCTCGAACGAAACAATAACATTCCTTGTATCCCATATGTGTGGTATTTCGCATTAACGAACTGATTCTTCAGTAAATTGTTTGTTACTGTTATACGTATTTGATTGATTTATATCAAATGTATTTATTGAAGAATTTGTCACATGCGTGAGACACGTAACATATTGTCAACGCGTCTTTGTGTATTATTTATTAACACAGCAAAACCTTCAACTCTAGAAAATTTCCAGGTGTTTGTTTTTTTTTTTACTTCTCACCTGCATGATTCACGTTAATTTCAGCTTTTTGTTTTTAAACTTCCTGATAGAGACTAACGCTTGTTAGAGCACCTTGTAAAAATATTATCTTGCGCATTAGAAATCATATTTTTATTAATCATATTTTTATTAATCGATGTAGATCGGAACAAGTGCGCAATCAGCAGGCGGCTATAAGCAACAAAAAGTACGACTTGTCCAAGTGGAAGTACTCGGAGCTGCGAGACGCAATCAATACGTCCTGCGACATTGAGTTACTGGAGGTATAATGTGTGCATACATATGCGCTTAGATTAGATAAATGTCCCAGCAAACACGAAATGCAACTGCTACATAACGTGGGAGTAACGTATAATGCAATCAGTTGTTATACCTGATTTATATTGGGATTATATAATTTTCTCTTATTTATGCAATATAACTCTGTAATGAAATAATTTATATAATCCGTTACTTAGTAGCGACAATAAGATAACAATAATGTATATGTAATGTAACACATGTTACATGACAAATTTTATGTCTGCGTAATGTGACAATTTATACAGGGTGTCCGGAAAATCGCTGCCAATATTTCGGGAAGTGATTGGGAATCTAAAAAGAACCCAGTAAAAAATTTTCCATGTATAAAATTGTATGGACATATTCGGTATATAAATTTGCATAATTAGATATAATAAGTTTAATTTGTGCACAAGTATATATGATTATATATCAAAAATTTTTTTAAAATATAGTAAAAATATAGTTTTATATAATTTTTTTGTATCTAACATGATACTAATAGAGTTATTTTGTAATTTAATATGGAATATCTCTGAAGCCATTCTCTTAAAAAAAGAAATTTTCCGTGTATAAAATTGTATGGACATATTCGGCATATAAATTTGCACAATTAGATATAATTATTTTAATTTGCGTATAAGTATATATGAACAATTTTTTACCGGGTAGGGAAAAAAGTTACATAAACATAGGTCATAGAAAATAAAGTCGTTTCCGAGTTATAACCACTTTTATATTAAAAAATCGTAATTTTTTTCATAATCAATTAATTTTTTTATTGTGTTTTAACATAAATCCCAGTTATATACCATTTTGGTTAATCTATATAATTGTTATATAACCTTTCAGTTACTACTGCAACAGTAATTTAACATTTTAGTAACATGTTATAGTGTCAGATTATATATATGTATAACTGCAATTTGATATGAATGGGAAATTACAACTAACGTGAATGTTGTAACGAACACGTTATATTACTTGTTACTTTCCCCGTTTCATTATGGCAATGTTACGTTTCATGTATCTGTGTTTGCCAAAGTAATTTTCTTGATTGTAAAGTTACGTTTATACACCTTTTGCAGGCCTGCCGTCACGAGTTTCATCGTAGACTCAAAGTTTATCACGCCTGGAAAGCGAGAAATCGTAGGAGAACCACCATGGACGAAAATGAAAGAGCCCCAAAATCCATCATGGAGGAAGGTTAATAATTATACTGAGATCTCCATCTAACAACAATTATATTGAATAATAATCAATATCCCTTTAACTCTGAAATGCTTACTTTTTTCTAATCTATTTTAACTCTTCGTGAACGGACTTCAAAAAAGAGAAATTAAAACAAACAATAAAAACACAATATTGATTATTTGCAGAGATATTTGATTTTAAAGTCACGTGGGTTTTACAGACTCAGTCTGTCCAACTAGTAGAGCTAGTTGACTAGTAAATAATCAATATTTGTTTTAATTGAAAGTTTGAACGATTCTGCGTCGATTTAAAAAAAAAATTGAAAAATCTAGTATCTTTGAAGATATTAAGCGTTTAAAAAAAAAAAACTAATTTTTACTAGAAACACCGGTTTGAAATTTTTGAGTGGATCTGAAAGAATCAGTCTGTCCGCGAAAGGTCTGTACTCTCTTGAAATAAAAAAATTGTACAAGTAAATACAAAAAATTATGATTAAAATAATAACATATCTAGGAAGAAAGAAGCATTAATTAACGAATATTTGTTTTATGATGTATATGTTTTTTTTTAAATTAAGCGAGAGATGCTGTTATTTGTTTGCAGCCGCAAAAACACCGAGAGCACCGCTCAAGCAACAGATAGTTGAGTCGTCGCAGAGATACTTCCGAATTCCTTTCGTCCGTTCTTCCGCGGCGGGTCAGGATAACACACACGGGGGCAGTAAAAGAGGATGGTGGTATGCACACTTCGACGGGCAGTATGTGGCACGGCAGATGGAACTTCATCCCGACAAGCCGCCGATACTTCTCGTAGCCGGTAAATATGCTCCTGCGAGCATCTTCTTCTAATTGCGATTGCGTGCGTGTTGTTCAACGAAAAATCGTTTCAGGTATCGACGATATGCAGATGTGCGAGTTGAGTCTGGATGAGACCGGATTAACGAGAAAACGAGGCGCCGAGGTTCTCGAGCATGAATTCAATCGCGAATGGGAAAAGTACGGTGGTAAACCGTACGTGCCGCCGTGCGACCGCAAGAAGTGAAAACTTCCTCGTGATCGCAGAGGAAGTTTTCCGATATATTTACGCATTTTATTGTAGTTTCGTCCGAATATCGTTTGCATATCGCAACGATAGTCCCGCGCCTTGCAAAAGATGTGCCTTGTGCATTGCTGCACGAATTTGCACGTATTTCTGTAATTCGTCCACGTTGTAGCTACGTAGAAACTTTTTATTGATATATATACATATATACAGGGTGTCCGACAATTAGTGTAAAATCTCTCGTAGGCAGGTAGAAGGAGTAAAACTGAGTCGAAAAGTCCTGAACCATTTTTTTCTATTACATATAATAAAGGAGTTATTATCGAACAAATCAAGCCAATCAGCGCCGACCTTTAGCCGGGTGGACGTCAGTGAGCCGCGCGCGGAGCGCTCACGCATAAGAGACGCGTGGTTCACTGACGTGCGTTGGGCTAAAGGTCGGCGCTAATTGGCGCTTGATTTGTTCAATAATAACTCCTTTATTATATGTAATAGAAAAAAATGGTTCATGACTTTTCGACTCAGTTTTACTTCTTTTACCTGCCTACGAGAGATTTTACACTAATTGTCGGACACCCTGTATATTGATATTTATATATACCATATGCGTATATATATAACAATTTGCCGAAAAAGAGAGTCCTATTTTTCTAGAATCTGGTTTCTAGCGATTCCAGCGGTTGTCAATCAGTATTCCCTAAAGCGTTGAATAACAGTAATAATAATAATAATAATAATAAAACGAAGGCTATCAGAGAAGTCCGGAAAGAAACGTGTACGCGAAATATAATATGTTACGTAGTGAATATATTTTGCATCTCGAAGTAGTTATAACATATTCGAGAGAGGTTCCTCGTGTTAAAGTTTCGTCAGCTTTCGAGTTAAGTACTTGCGTATTTATGAGATTCGTTCATTTGTTGATCACCTTGAGATGATATTTCGTAGAGTAGTCGTTCTCTAGGAAGTAATCAATAAAGAATAATGAGAAAAAAAGAGAAAATTCAAATTTACACAAATATATATAGTTTCACACAATTCAAAAAGTGAATAAAAATTGAAAATCAATATAATAAATAAAAATCATATAAACAAATGAAAAAAAAAAATATATATATATATATAATGATATTTACATAAATGTATAAAATCTCGCAAAGATATTTGTCAGAGTATGAGATACGATGAAATAAAAAGAGAGTGATCTCATTTGAGAGTGATCTATGCCACGTGGTTGTGTGTGCGCTACGTATACAATAATATATATATATTAATATACATATATTTATATTATATATATATATATGTATTACAAATTTTTAGCACAATAAGATATATGTGTACATTTTATTTAAACATACATAATGCATTCTTCACTTCACATACAAAAAAAATGTAGATTTAGAGAATTAATTAATTATCTGGATACTTATTATGTTGAATCGAAAATAGTTAGTTGCGTAATAACTATCTTATCCGAATGTTTAAATGGTTCGTTGTTTTTGTCCGTCAAAAGAAAATACCTTTCCTGCTGATTTGATAAATAAACAAATTAACGCTACCAATACCAACGTGCTGCTAATTGTTTTTTATCGCTAACGGTGATGGTGGAATCCATCCACCGAAAGCTGTCTCCAATTCTTTCGCGACCGCCAAACAGAGACGGTCTTGATAAGGTGCAGCTATCACCTGCAAGTTTTTCGACATATATGTTAGTTAAATACATCAATTTTAATTTATTCTGGTAATTAATTCTCAGTATCTCAATATATAGTTCTTTAACTTTTAGATTTCACGCTCAAAATTGATAACCAGAAACTAAACTATGACAATTTTCAGAAAAAAATTTTTTTTTATATGTAACCTTCGTTCCCCGCCATAAAAGCCTCTTTTTAGAGGCTTCATACAAATTTCGAGATTCCGCATACCGTGTATGTTATTATATATAATATACAGAAAATCTTTAAGAAAAAAATACACTACTTTAAGAGGATGCTGAACCAACGGCTTAAGAAGGTCCTGGACCTTCCTATTATACCGATCAAACGAGTAATTCGTATTTTAGATTGCATTTTGTATTTATTGCTCGGATAGAAAAACGGCTCTACAGAATAAAAGAAACTAATGAAATTAATCTTGGGTACTTTTCAATATATCGAAAACTTAACAAAAATTGTTGAAGTTAACAATCACCTCTCTCTCTCTCTGTGTGTGTGTGTGTGTGTGTATTACGTTGAGTTTACCTGAACGCCTATGGGCAATCCGTCTCGATTTAGACCCATCGGCACATGCGTTGCAGGAAAACCAAAAGTATTGAAAAGATAAGTATACACATGGTTCATTATTTCGCATATAGAAAATTTTGGAAGAACTGCCGAACGATGAAAAGTTGGATAAATAAATACGCCATTCTCACCCAACAGATTCTGTAAAAACACGTTGAAAGAAGTAATAAAATGACCAAATAACATGAAATAACAAACTAAAAACATCACATTGAACTCTTAAAAAAAAGAAAATTTTACTTTTAGAAAACAACTAACCACAAGCTTTTGTCGAATTGATTCTCCTTGTTTTGCGTACTTTGATATATCTGATTTTGAGAAAAATAGGTTGTGTTTAAAAGCCAGCATCATTATACATGTTTCTTTCATGTTTTCCGACAAGCCGAGCAGACCTTTTCCCAACTCGTAAAGTGGATCCTTCTGGCGATGCGTCAACAAGAAAACAAGGCTGATTGTGAATTTCGTGTTTACACAAATAAACACGAAAAACAAACGTTTTGCAAATATAGGACCAACGAGAAAAATTTTTTAAGTTTATCGAATTTTTTGTTTCGCCAACAAAATGTTTTTCTGGCAAAAACATTTAATAAGAAAATTCAGAAAAATTTTCTCGCTGGCCAAATATTATAACATAACTAATAATATATATATGTGTTATTATATATATTATAGATACATACATTATAATAACTAATCTTTTTGCTACTCTAGCAAAATTTTTTTCCGTAAATATAGCGTAACAATTTGAAAACCGAACATATATATATGAAAATCAATATATATATATATATACATATATATAATGATATATATATAAATAAAATATCACACATTATATATATAATATTTTATTTTATAATGATATTTTTCGATATCATTATATATATATATATATACATACACATTAAATGTATATATATAGATTTTGCGAAGAATATATAAGTGTGAATGTAAATAGACTATTTTGTTTCGGTACGATTTTTATATATTTAATAATATTCCACGTACACGCGTGTATTCCATCAACGCGCGATAGAAACGTAATTCTGCAACAACTTTGCCATTTGCAAATGCTGTATCCTAACGTATTGTGCAACGCGTGACAGCAAATATGCCGTACAAATTCATCAAAATATGACCAGCGTAATTTTCCAGCGCTGTGTGTGTGGAAAAGATACACGAACTTTCACGCGTGCCAGAAGTTAGTTAATGATAATAACTTTAATGTGACTTTTTTCTCTTGCAAATACCTCTTTCCACATCAAAAGATTTTGAAACACCAAACTGACAGATAATTACTAAACGGATAACTATTTTTCGGTGGCGTAAGTTGTTTATTTTTTTTCTTTTTGAATGCGTTTCATACGCGATTGAACTTCTTAACCGAAGTGAAATAAATAAATCACGAAAGCAAAAACGAAGTTTCCCCTTCCAGTAAAAGTTCACTGCTTTTCTTGTGCCGATATCTGTTACTCTGTGCTCGCGCAGAAGAAAAATAATCTTGCGATATGTTTAAACGCGTTGAAGTGAAAACAAAAGAAGAATTTACTGAGTTGCATCCGGCGGTCCCTTGATCTCATTAAAGAGTTAGACTTCTATTGTCTAATATTACCTTAGTATTGTCGGCGTTAAGCAGCGACACAGGGTTTTCCATGCTTATAATTTTTGTCAGAGCGATTTCACATATTTCGGCCGGCAATTTGATTGGTAGCTGCAATATTATTTTATTGTGTTAAATCTTGCGCAATCTTGTTGCAGATTTATTGAATATCCGTATATACGCAGGTCGTCTGAAAAGTTTTGAGCCTAAAAAATATTTGATATAAAATCAAATATTTGTTTCGGTCAAATTCAGTTTTGGGGGACTGTCCCGAACACTCATCATCGGCTCAGCTGATACGACCACGTTTAAATTCAGCTGCACATCTTTTCACGGTAGCAAATGGGATGGGACGGAGTTCCCGTAAACAGCGTCCAACTCGGCTTTAATTTGCGCGGGCGTAAAAATTTCATCGCGATATTCAATTTTTGAAAAAAACCACCGACATCGACTGTCACAAATGAAAATGTCAAACAACAACCGAGCGTCCAAAATGGTCATAAAAATTTTCACAGGTATTTCTTAAAAGCGATTGTACGATTGTGTGGGTACCAGAATGGGTTTTGACGAGTTAATACCATCTTCATGTTGAGTTCTCAAAACCCTTTCAGACAACCCTCGTATATTACACGCACCTTTTCTACGCTAACGCCGTACTTCATAAAGTGGTTTGCAGCTTGTTGTACGCAATTTTTTATTTCCGCTGTTACCGGCAACACGCCGAGCGATCTGTCCAAGCTTTGCAGATAGTAAACTTTTAATTCGTTAACGTCGACCGGCACATCTAGACGTAAGTTACAACCGCACTGAGACGTTATCACTCTCATAACAAGACTGAGATCTTCCGCGTATCTAGCTAATGGACCAAGGCATAATAAACTCTGAAAACACTTATCATCGGATAACGGATAGTGTCCTGTGTTCGAAACAATTCCTACAAGACAAAAAGTCAAGTATGTAATGATGTTAATAATTCAACGGTACGTGTGTAATAAACTTGCAATATCTCTTTGGTAGTAAAATTTAGAAAAATAAAACTTTCGAGTTTGCGTTCTAATAAAAAAAAAAAAAAAAGCTTGTGGGTGATTCGGAACGTCAGTTTACCACTGGTGGGTTTGTGTCCAAAAACGCCGTTGTAAAGAGCGGGTACTCTTATAGAACCGCCCAAGTCCGAACCGAATCCGATTAAGCTAGCGCCCGCTCCAAGTAACGCACCCTTAAACAAAAATCAAACATTTTTCTTTTTTTTTTTTTTTTGTTTATAAATCGATAATAATATATAAATTTGTCGAGCATATAGGTTTCCCGCAGTTTAGACGACTGCTTTTATTCAATCAGACACGTGTAGCGAGTTTTAATTATGGATTTGTTAACTCTCTCTAGAGAAAAAAAAGATAATCAATACGAATGTCGTTAATAAGCAAAAACTGCCGATGTTTTTTTCACACACACACAAGACATTCCAATTTTGATTGGAACATAAATTCGTGATGAAAAGACAATTCTCTGAAATGTTAACATATGCGAAAAAGCCTGTGATCTAAGTTGAAGGTGAACAGTCGAAAAAAAACAACTTAAAACGAAGTACATTCCGAACATTTCGGTGACATTTTCATTGATGTGATCATCGTCACCACTGAGAATACAAAGTAAAAAATAATAAGATAGAAAAATATCCGTTAGACAGAAAGATACATACAAAAAATTTTGACTTTAAATACACGGAAAAAAGAAAATGATGTTGAATCAACACAATATCAATTTAATTGAAATATATCCTGATGATGCAACATCAATATTGTTGCACTATAAACAGCAGATAGTTGCTTTAAGAATCTAGACATTAAATTAATCGCATAAGCAATTGAATGAACTATTTATTTTTGTGGTAGCTCTTTTGTGACGCCCGTGACGTCAACATTAATTAAAGCAACTCTATTTTTTTTCTGTGTACGTACGTGCATCTAACTCGACGAGTCCTACATAAATAAGGGCATTTGGACCGAGAAGTGCGCGTTTTGGAGCCGAATGTATCGTATCTATTGTTGCCTCTTTTCCGCGTTGCCGATTGGTTGGTTGGTTGATCGAATCGAATCGGTAAGATCGAGAGAGTAAATAATGAAAAGCGATTTTGAGACAGGTCGTCATATATGTAAAGAAAATTAAAACCGTAACTAAAGTCACGTGACAGGAAAGAGTAGAAAAACAACACGTGAAAATAACGTGACTGTAATTTATATTATATATAACATTAAATACTACATATTATACATATAATTTATTATATATTTATAATATTATACTTTATATTGTATTATATGTATTATATACATACTACAGTAATGTCATTGACCTCGGCCGCGCGGCCTTGGCGGGGTCACTGACCTCGGCCGCGCAGCCTTGGCGGGGTCACTGACCTCGGTCGCGCGACCGCGGCGGTGTTACTGACTTCGGTCACGTGATTACGGTATATATATATATATATATACATATATGCGTATGTGTGTGTATTATATATAGATATAGAATATTACATATAATATATATAATATTCTCTTTTTTACCCTTTTCCCTGTCACGTGACTTTAGTCACGTGTTGTTCTTCCACTTCTCTCTCTCACTATTTTTTGAGTTTGATTTTCATGCGTTATTTCTGACATTTCTCATATGTATATTATATGGTTTATAAGACGTATATATTATCCGTCATCGTGGTGACAGATTGTGTTCACTGACAACACGTTAAATAAAAATAACAATAGCGTGCGCGTAGCGCGCGTCTCTGATGTGCTAGTTATTATAAAAAAAACCGCTTAATGCGCGCCGGTATAACGAGCCAAAACAACAGATAACATGGACACACTAAATATAAGTATGACGTCTACGTATCGGAGATCTATAACGGACAATCAAATAAATAAATGTCAAATAAATCAAATAAATATTGTAAAAATTAGTCAATAAAAACGATAAATTTGAGTCAAGAGAATAAGTCAAATGTGAATATATATATATATATATATATGTAAAATAAAAAGTTAAAATATAAAATAAAAATCAAACATATAAAATAAAAAGTCAATTAATATAAAACTATGTGAGCAATGTAATAAATAAATAAATAAATAAATAAATAAATAGAACACTTACTCTTAACTAATTAACTAGTTCAGTCTAACGGATGTTACTAAGAAATCATTAGTCAGTTCAAAATGCTAATTACAATATAACTATGTATATTGTATGTATTCCGTGACATATTTATTGGTCCTTGATAAAAAAAAAAAAAAAAAAACGCAATCTCATGTACACTATGTCTGAGAGTTTTTATCATCGGATAACAAATAGTGTCCTGCGTTCGAAACAATTGCTACAAAAAAAAAAAAGGAAAGTATATATACGGTAACGCGGTAAGAGAGGGAAGTGGAGAGAGCGATCTGCTCCCAAATGCCGTCTTAAAATGACGCAATAGAGCAATAACTAAACGCGTTTTTATTGCTTGACGTTCGAGCGTTATTTAATTTAATACAAAAATCTCATTTACTTCTTCGGCCAACTGGCTGAAGTATAAAATAAAAATAAAAAAATCTCATTTATATTCTTATTTCACCAATTTGCGTAACAGAGATACGAAGTTTCTGCAGAAAATTCGGCATTTTTTTAATCTATTACGATAGTTCTGTGTGTAGAATGAAAACCTGTTTTGTTTCTTCTTGTGCTTGTTATTAACGCGCTCTTTCCTTCTCCGAAACAATCGAGTCGCGCAAAACCAACCGAGTCGTTCACGCTTTTAACTCTTACACTTTCCAACACAGACAACTATGCAAGCGTATAGCCAAATGTTTTATTTTGTTTTTTATAAATAATTATACACTTAATTGTTTTATAAAAAAAAAAGTAAAGCGTAAATGAAAAATATGTTGCCCACTAAGATGAAAAATTTATTTGTTGATTATTTGAATAGGGTTATTATCAGAGTAACCTTAGTAAGAAAAAAAATATCGCCCCGGGCGCTGTTTTTTTTTTTTTCACTGAGTGACGTGCTTATTGGCATCATATAAAATTAATAATTTACATAACAGTATGTAAACTTTGTTTCTTCGATAGTAACATTTAGAAAAATAAGACCGTCGAGTTTGTGTTAAAATCCCAATGAAAAGTGTTTAAAGAATCGGAAGGTCAGTTTATCACAGGTCCAACTCAGCAAACACAGATAACAGCAACATTGTCGTAAACAAAATGTAAACAAGTAATATAACAAGGTCGTTGCGTGTAACATCCGCACGTGTTAGTGGTAATTTCCTGTTTGTTGTACATTGCAGTTATATAATATGAAAACACAGAAAAAGAAATGGAGTTGCGCTTCAATTATAAAGTTGACATCACGGGCTGCCACAAAGATAAACAGTTCATTCAATTGCGATTAATTTAATGTCTAGATTCTTAAAGCAATTATCTGCTGTGTGTGTAATGCAATAATATTGATGCTTCATCAACAGAATATATTTCAATTAAATTGTATGTTGTAACTATATTGTATCTAATATTGTTGATTCAACATCATTTTTTCTTTTCCGTGTATAACACTGCAACTGTTTTATTATATTTAAATTGCAATTATATGTATTGATAAATATAGTGTTATATAGCAGTAATGTAAAATTCATGTAACATTTGTTATGTAATCTATTACATATCTATTATATTGCCGTTATAATGTCATTATACCACTTAATAACTAGCAATATAATAGGTATGTAAGATTATATTAAAATTATAAAACAAAATTATATAACATCGATGTTAATAGAGTATAACAGCAGCTTATATCACGTGTTACACTTCTATGTTATATAACAGTTATATTCCGTGTTTGCTGGAAACTATCTCATGCATAATTTTTACATAAACGTAATTTTTTACACATATGAATAATTAACTGTGTTGCGGATTCTGAATTGCCCAGATCGATGGTGTGTGTGTGTTTGTGTGTGTATCGATGGAAACTTTCTTAATGATCAAAGCGGTAATGATCAAATTACCTCGCCGCCGGACGATCCACCCGCGGAATATCTGGCGTCGTAAGGATTTTTGGTATGACCATAAACTAGATTTGTGGTTTCGAAGCAGATGCACATCTCCGGGGTGTTTGTGATGCACAGCAGAATCGCTCCGGCATCTCGGAGCAACTTGACGACAACTGCGTCGTCGGTCGCTTTCACACCCTTGCGCGATAAAGTGCAACCTGTATGGCTGCATCCTGATCACAATAAAAAAATTAGATATTTTACAGAATCGTTTAAATAGACTTATATATATATATATATATATATATATTTGTTATAGAATATCTTATACCTTTGACTCCGATGGATTCTTTCATGGTACACGGCACGCCGTAAAGCGGCTTTTCCTTTTTCAACTTTTCGAGGTCAAGTTTGCCGGATCGCAATTGTTCGTCGCATTTCTTTGCCTCGATTATAGCGTTTTCAAATCGATTGTCAACAACAGCATTTAGAGAGGAATTCACTTCCTTAATGCGTTCTATATACTCGTTCACCACTTCGTAGCTTGTAATCTGATTTTCGTGAGATAGATATAATATTTTGCAAAGTACTTACGGTTCTCATAAAGAGGAAACATTGGACACATATTATATAAAATAAAAAAAAAAAAAATGTATAAAGACGTATCTACCTCTTTCTCCCGAATTTTTTTGGCTATCGTCGTAGCGCTTAACGTAAATAAAGATTTCGTTATTGGTGTCAAACTACATCGCGGTTTTTTATAAATCAACAACACGATCCACTCCAGTGGTAGATATATCACGTTCATAACAGCAAATAGCAAACGCAATTTGAACATCATTTTCTGCAAAATAAACTCATATATATTATTTTCAAATCAATAAATTAGAAGGGGAGTAAAAATTTCATTTATGTAACGCAACCCAAGATGAATTTTCAAATTGAATTCAATTCGAACTATCATGTATATCACTTCGCGCGTTTAAAAATAAAATAAAAAAATATTTTCTTGCACGAATATCTAACATTGTCTCACACATGATCGAATTAATTTTCACTCTTCATATATTTCATATATAATTTATATCCAGAGCTTTGGCGTAGTATAAAAAACACTGTAAAGCTACAAATTTTTCAAAAACAAAATGATGTAACTGTATGTAAATAATGTATGCAATAAAATTGCAAGTAGAAGAAGTGGCATCGAGCCTAATTTGATTGTCAAATTTATGTGATTTCGTGTTCCCATTAGGATCTTCATCAGTAATTAGATATATTAAATGTAAATAAATATATAAACAATAGAAATATAAATAATAACAATAGAAATATACATACAATATATAATATACAATATATACAATATATATAGAATATATATAGAAATAAATATATATACAATAGATGTAATAAACATAAATAATAAAAAAACATTACAAAAGTAATATTAAGATAATACAAGAAAACGTAACGTGTGTTAAACATTTTGTTACTCCAGCAAATTTATCGAGAGATAAGAATACAAAGAGGAAAAAGAAAAGAGATAATCAAACATAATTTAACGATTGGTTGATCATATATATATATACATATATATATATATATATATATATACTATCTTCTCCTATTTACGATTCTTCTATTACGACATTATTTATTTATATTTTATTTATAACCAACCTACACAGAACAAGAACTTTATTGAACATCCATTAGACGTCAACAGCTCCACGCGGTATCTAATAAATGTTTAATAGAATATTTTGTGTTCTGTGTGGATATGACATTGTGTACATATTACACAGAAGCGTCACACACACGCCTGATGTTACGATGTGTAGTGATCACGCACTTTTTAAAAATACAGCAAGTACGTCGCAAAAAGTTGAAACTCCGACTATTGGTTAAATATATGATCAGAAGTAAACAAAGCAAGTGCTAATCACTGTCGTACACATAACGCTTTTTATGAGGTTCACGCGTGCGCATACATACGCACATCACGCACAGAATTACGTAAGAAATTTGAAATTATGAATGTGCCGCATTCGAGGAATGTGTTAGAGGTATAATACCAGGCGGTCTTGTTCTTTGCATTGAATTTCTTGTCGCGCGATTCGCGAAGCTCTGAATAAATGTAATGACCATGACTTTCCCTTGGGATCAAGCGCGGGATTGACGCGCGGGCGACTGAATGACAATGTCGTCCATTCGATGAGTTCAATTTCACAATCGCCCACCTAGATTTTTTTTTCGGGCTAGTAATAATCGCCTATACGCGTTTTGCATTCACATCGCAATAGCGTGAACAGAGTTACTAAGTACACACGTCGCTTTCGATATAGAATTTATTTACATGACGAAAGTTTGTTTGTCATGTTTAGGCCGAAACGTACAACTTCAGTCTAACATTGTAAAATACGGTTTGAGAGAAACCTGAACAAATCTAGACACAATCTACAGACATTTAAGAAATTTACTATATATATATATAAATTTTTATAAATTATATATATCTATCTATATATATATATATATATATATAGATAGATATAATTTATAAAAGAAAATTTGAAAACAATCAGCGTAACGTGCAATCGCATAATTGAACAATGCGACTCGCTGATGTGAAAACAATTATAACCGTTTAGAGGAAACCTGTTATTATTTTCTCCTATATAATTTTTATGGTTAAATTAATATATGATTTACTTTTTTTTAATACATATTATTTTATAATATATAATATCTTTTTTTTTTAAATACATATTAAAGATATTACATATTAATATTACATATTAAAAATATTATATCGTCAAACATTTTTTATTTGTTTATATAAGATTGAGTTTATATAAATCTCTCAAAAATAAAATGGGTTTTTAAAAAGTAAACTGTTTTTTTTTTTAAATCACAATTTTACAACTTTCTCATGTTTTATTGCTTTATCAGTTTGTTCAACGTTATTTGATTTCATAAAGTGATAATAGTCTATTGCTTCTTTGAGATGTTAATGAACAGACATACATTATACTTCGGTCAAATATCTCGAAGCGTTACGAACATACAAAAACACTTAAAATACGCAAAAATTGTGAATTATTCAATTTGTTCATTCTTGAATTGCAATTTATAAAGCAGAATGTAAATCATCATCTCAATAATGGTTGCTGCACTAAAGACAAATTGTAATTTATTTGTTTTTTTTGGATGTTCCATAAATTCAGTTTATTTTGAAATTCATCTTGCAAGGTCTTCATATAAATATACGCGCAGTACTAAATAACATAAAAAAAACAAATAATAAATCAAGTAATAAATATCATGTAAAATATAGCTTTTTAATATTTAAAACTCGAAATATTTGCTACATCAATTAATTTGTTGCTGCTTTTTACAGTCGTGTATCAATAGTGCGGTCAAAGTCTCACTGCAAATGTTTCGAAGGCATCGTTCTATTTTTATTCTACATTTTAACGATAAATAGGCTTTGACCGCACCTCAAGAGATACATAAATAGCGTCTCGCGCCAAATCTCGTATAAATCTCGTATAAATCTCGCGCCAGATCTCGTATAAATCGAAAATGTCACATCTTGCAAATCTTTAATCTGTAAATAGATAAGTATGATAGTTACATCATCCGAAAGCATAAATATTTTACCAATAATAATCAAATGTACTTGATGCAGTTTTTTTATCAAGTACATTTGCCCGGTAAACACAAAGTAACATTAATGTTATAATTTCCCGCTCAACGATGTAAACTGCAATGTAATACGCCTTGTAACGTAGCGGTTACATTGTTGAGTTGGGAAATTATATAAAATTAATTTTACGTTACTGTTACTTTGTAATTTAACTTGATGATAATCTCCGCTGAAAATTTTGCTTGTAAGATTCCCTGCATCTGTAACGCAACCTTGACCTTGAAGAATTTAAAACCTAGATTTTCTGCATTCCTACGAAACTGACCGCCAACTTGTTTATCAAAACCAAACCTTCGCTAAAGACACCTTCTTGAGAGCGAACTTGTTTTAATGTATAAAATTTGCATATGTAGCAGATCTGAGCGAGATTAGTTAGTTTTACCGAGATATTATTATTGTCTGTTATAGCTAAGTGAGATAAAAACTTCAATTGTTGCTATCGCAGTTAGTGAACAGCTTTTCTTATTAGAATTCTAATCGTTGTTAAGTTGTTTGCTTAACGTAGTATTATGAGTGTTGGACTTCTCACGGTCAAGTTAGAAATATTTTCATTTTAGTTTTATAATAGTTTTTATAAAACTCTTATATTGCGCTTATATAAAATTTTAACAACAAATATTTAACTTCGCACACAAAATGGCATCGATTAATGACACACAAATCTTTGCGTAGTTCTTATCAAATAACTCGCATTCTTCTTCTAAGTAATTCTTCTCCTTGCGAAACCGAATTTCATCGACTACATTTTATGTAAATAACGCTACGTTACTTTGTATGTGTGTAAAAAAATAATTTAAGCTGAGAAAAAAGAGCGCCTTTTGGCCTAAAAAAAAAAAAAAAACAATTGTACGTACCGTTAAAAGTTGATCAACTTTATCACCGGCGATCTTTAGTTCAAAATATTCAAGTAGAGCACAAAAAAGCGCCTCGGTTTAAAATTGCAAAATATTCAAAATATTGTCCTCAGATAATCTTGCTGCGATTTTTGGTTTTTTTTTTTCATTGAAATATTTTTATGTATTTCTTAGCCCGATAAGTGCGCGAAGTCGCGCTGTTCCGGTTATCTGTGTGTGATTGATTCGGCGTATTCAAAATTTATCGCATCCTAGATCCGGATCACTTATGCAGATACGCGGCAGAGCACAGACTGAATTCAACGATGGCTTGACGAACGATTTTAATGCCTATTTGGAGAGGGGAGGAAAACCGACCCGTCCAGTATAATTCTTACGAGCGCTACTGTGGAAATAAAAAAACAAAAAAAAATGATATATGTAAGCACATTGTTTTAAGTATAATTTATAATCGAATTTTTAATAACGCGTGATCATAAAAGCAGCGACGTGTCATAACAAATGCACAATTATTGTTTTGAAATGCAGGAGAGTGTTTTTATTTTGCTCAATAACTTCAGCGTGTGTATGTGACCGAGAAAAAACCCTGAAAATTTGCAACGTTTTTTTTTTTTTTTTATAAACAACACACATTTTGTTACAGATACAAATCATTGATGACTTAATACATTACTAATTTTTTATAATATGTATCGCAATATTTGATTGTATACAAAAATAGTATATTATAATACAAAATAACAATGGATACATAATAATATTATATAAAATATAAAATATATAATATTAATATACAACAAAAAAAAATAAAAAGTTGTAATATAAAACACTGATTACATTATTTAATTTATTATATAAACAAAAGAAGAAAGTGTGAAGAATTTACTATTTAAACTACAACTATTATTCGTATTTGTTGTGATCACATAAAATCAACAAATTAAAATATATACAAATCTTTCAAACAAGATTAAACAAGATTGTTTTTTTTTTTTTTTATAATTTTACGCCAAGTTTTGTAATGACGAGAGAAAAACACATTGTAAACAAAACATTAATTAACTCGTAACCGAATAACATTTTGTTATTGCTGCTGCCACATTTTCGCAACATACATTTTTTTGGAAACAAACAAGATCGCACAACAAAGAGTCACGATCAAACGAATAAAATTTTATTTTACAAGAAAAAGATTTCTATAAGAATAGATTACAATGATAATTCGGACACAATCCGGGGCGCCGCGTGTAACGTTTACGGCGATGCCGCGCGGCAAGGGCATAGGCCATGCGGCGACGCGGTGCGCTGATTGGCCGTCATTCCTTTTGAAATGATCCGGGGTTTGCGCGAGATCCGCGAGAGCGCGCGCGTCTCGCACTCGTGCGACAGCCAGCGGCCGATGGCGACCGCCGAGATGTGTCTGCGAGGTTGTTGCGATTAGTAACAGCCGCCCGTGCCGTGTTTCCATCCCGTCGTAGTGTGTTGAACCGCGTTTGTATACGTCCCCCTCCCCCACAACTGACGCCGTTTTCGCGACGTTTTCCGTCCTCATCGGCGAGACAACGCGCGTTCACGAGACACACACGCTGCGCGTGTTGTGTGTCTCCGTGTTGTGCATCTCTCTTCTCCTTTGCAAATACACGGCGACGACGTCCCACGTCGTGCCCGTCGGTGAGCGCGTGCTGCGAGTCGAGTGTTTGCACGTGTTTGTGTGCGTGCGTGCGTGCGTGAGTGCGTGTGTTGCACAACGGTGTTATAGATGTGAGAGAAGAGCTGTGTGGTGTACGCCGTGTCGAAGAAGTGCCAACCAGTTCACCACGGTGGATCATCATTCCGCATCGAGAGAGCGACGAAGAGAGAGAAAGGAACACATATATAGGTAGATATAACGTAAGAGAGAGAGAGAGAGAGAGAAAGTGAAGTGAGAGAGATAGAGAAATGTATGTATGTATGTATGTTGCACGAGTAGAGAGAAAGGACGGCAAGAAAAGTCGTGATTGTATTATTCCGCGTTCCACAGCTTACACCAAGTACAAGAGTTGACATTTTGAAGAGAGCATGGACCATCGTCGGTCGTCGTCGTCGTCGTCGCCGTCGTCACCGTCGTCGTCGTCAACGTCGTCGTCGTCGTCGAGTCGTCAAAAAGCAGCGTCGTCGTCCCGGCATCGTCAGTAAACACAAGCACCGACGGATATACACAGTGAGTCATTGCTCTTTTGCTTTCGTTCATTCGTTTCTTCCTTCTCTCTTTCTCTCCCTCCTTCTTCTTGCGTCTTCCTCCTCCGACTGCCGCTTCTCTAGGTTTTTTTTTTTTTTTTTCTTTCTCTCAACCGATATATGACCCTGAACGCGTAACCGAAACACAGCTTTACGAGATTGTTCTTCGTTTCGTGAAGGCGAAACCGTCCTTCGTCAAGATATAATCCCTCTATCTGGCGTGTGTGCTCAATCCGGCGTGATTCCCGTCCCGAGTTTGTTGAGTTTTTTGGGGGAAGTTATCCCGAAGCTTTTTAAGCGAAACGTAACAAAAATTTTATCGGGTCTCCCCGTCGAAAAGTTTTCACCGACGGACGATCAATTTTTTTTTTTTTTTTTNNAANNATTATTTTTCACATCTCGACGCGAAAAATTTCATCTAAAATTTTTTCTCGTATAAATTTTGTTAACAATTTTAACGTTAATGTTTCCTTGCGAGTGTGTTTAGCGCGTACTCGAGAGAGATCTTTCCCTACGCGCGCCCCCGGTTTCCACTTATTATCTTCGTCGTTCGTCTCTTTTGTTCGTCAACTTTTCGCGCTTCGTTAATAATTCTCCTCCTCCTCGCCTCGATTCTCCTTGTTTCTCGCGCGCGCGCGATCGATCAACATCGGCGTCGTTGATTAACGCGGATACAACGAGAATCCCCGTCGTAATTCAGAGATCATCACCGAAATGACTATCGCGTGATACGCATTAACGTGTACGTTACGTGTGTGCGTGCGCGCGTTTTTTTTTTTTTTTTTTTTCATCGCGCTATCCCGCGCGAGGAAGATATTCAACCGCATTCAAAAAAACCCCCATTTCTCTTCGCTTTCCGCCCTCTCTTCTCCCGCGTGTGCATACACACACACACACTGTACACATATATACGTACGTGCATACGAAGCGCGCACACCGCCGGACGCAGCCGTGCGCGTTTTCTCGAGCCGCGGTGGTTTTCTGCGGTCGGTGCTTTCGTTTCGACTGGTCGCGGTGCTTTTTCTTCGGGTCCGCTCCTTGCCGCGCCGACTGTGTGTGTTGCCCTCCTACTCGCGCTCTCTCGGTATACCGGGTGTCCTTTTTCGGACTCGGTGTACCTGTTAATACGCGCTTTTAAGAAAACACAGAATTGAAAAAAAAAACAAGTTGATTTATGGATATATTTTTCCGTCATTGTGTTTTTTCTCTTTTGTGTTTCGATTTTTCGAATTTTTACACGACCCTCTCTTTGGGTTTTCCGCGAAAACTCGTCGAAAACGTTTAGAAAAAAATTACATTACGTCGTTCAGAAATTGCGACGACCGAGTTGCAAACACCTTGTGATCGAAAAACTAACGACCGAAAAATTCCGGGGATTCGGGAGAAGTTTTTTTGATAATCCGTACGTGATAATTCGTGCGCATGTGGTGTGGAAGATCGACCGTGTGTGTAACAGAAGGCACAAGGGGGGTCGTAAATCGTCGCGCGCGAGTAGATCGATAGACCGTCGTAAATCCACGGTCCTACAAGGTACCTACAAGGTAGGCCACGTAGGGTAGTAGGGAAACACTTCTAAGAGCTTCACTGTGTGTGAGCGGAATTGTTGAATTCGCTCTTGGATTTTCCGGAAACGCGGAAAAGAGAGGAGACACTCCGACTGTCATTTTTAACATGTGAAGTCACCGCGACCCGACGACAAAGACGACGTCACGTCACGTCACGTCGCGTTGTGTTGTCCGGAGGGCATAAGGCAAGGATAATGATATTACGGCTTAAAGAGACGGCTTAACCTAACGGTTAGTTTATTGGCGTGAAGGAGTCGCGGAGCGTGTCTACATCAAAGCGACCGCTTCCGAGCTCCACTTTGCCCTGCTTATTCTCTCTCTCCGTCTCTCTCTGTCTCTCTCTTTCCCCCTCTCTCCCTATTCCTCCTTTCCTCCCTTTCTCGCTGCCGCCGTCCCGACGCCAGCTCCCGACCGTCGCCGTTACCACCGACGCTTCTATTCGCTTCACCGAGCTATGTACGCAACGCGGCACCCTCACGTACATGTGCTGTGTGTCGCCTATTAACACCTATTAACATCTGAAACGGGACACGCACACGTGCCGTGGACGCCGCATCATTGGATAGGGTTTGGAAATGCGAATCTCTTCGCGACGACGACGACGACCTTGCGCCAGCAACGCGATTTGCGCCCCCGACGATATGCGCGGTTCAAATCAAACTCGCGTTGAAAATGTTCGAAGACGAAGAGTTGAGTCCTATATAAATCCTAGTAAAACCCCCGAACAATAACGATAAATTAATTCCGAGCTGTTAGTTCTTGAAAATGAAAAAATCTTGTTAACTATTTGGCGGAAAAATATTTCTAAAAAATTCAAAAAAAATATCAAAACTAATGTGTCCCTTGTTACAGAATAAAGTCCCGTGAGAACTTTCACATAGTTTTTTTGCAACGCTTTAAACCAATAAAAAAATCTCATCAGACACAAATGTTTTTTTACAGGATTTAAATAAACAAACGCGGATTAAAATTTTTTCCTTGAGTTTCAAAGGTATCTTTTGAGATTAAATTTCAATCAGTTTTGTTGCAGAATCACAAAAGCCCAAACATGCTCTTGCGAACGCGTCGCGACCAATTATTATAATATTTAGTTGTCCATGGTTTCTTCCCGGAAACTTCTCTTCCCAGAACTTTTATCCGTTTATTTACTCCCGCAGCGGAATTGCGACCGGTAATAGATAAGGCGTCGGCAAAACCTGCTGTGGTCGATCACGCGAATGAGAAAGAAAGAAAGAGAGAGAGCGAGCGAAACACAAGCAGGCCACCCTCGGCGAAGGCAGAGGGGGAGATCGAAAGGACCGACGACGTTGGAAAGAAGGGAAGAGAGAGCACGGCACGCACGGCGGTTTGGGAATCCCCCGCAGCACGACACGCTGAAGCGTCGTCAAAGTAGCTGCTGGGGTTCTCTTCCTCCGGTTTCTCTCTCTCTCTCTTTCTTTCTCTCGTCGCATTTGATACCACGTGTTCCACGTCGGGGGCAAAGCGGCCGACATCGGTGCAAAGCCGAAGGGGGGGGGGAAA